TTAATAATGTAATTTAATATAGAAATTTAGAAAGGTAAATTTTTAAAATATAATATTCCATAATTCAGACACTTCTAACTGTTTTTACAATCCAGGCTTGATTATGATTTGCATTTATTCATGTCATAAAATTAATACAAACCATTCAATCATTCCAATTCAGATTATATCATAATTTGATTAACTTAAGCATTAATTAAACATTTATCAATCAGCTCAAATGTTTATCTATTTTGTAGGTCAAAGTAGAAGTCTTGCATAAAGCTTTTACAGCATTTTATTTCTTGGCTAAAGAACAGATTGCGAATTCCAAAGCAGGGTGTCTACTTCAACTGGTTGAGAAGTTAGGTGCTCATGACATCAAGTATTTCCACCACAGGTCATCTACATCAATCCGTGAAATGATTGTGACTCAAATCATTGAAAAAGTTAAAAATACAAATTTCTTTGGGCTTTTAATTGATGACTTAACAGATATAGCTGTCATGGAACAAATGATAACATTTATCCAGTACTTCAATTTTGAAACATCTCAAGTTGAAACCAAATTTTTATTTATTGATGATTTGTTGAAGGAGTCTACATCAGCTGATGCTGAAACGATATACAATGTTCTAATTAAGAACATTGAAGAATTCCAGTTGCCTCTTGGTAAACTAAAAGGCTTGGTAACTGATGGTGCTGCTGTTATGGTTGGCAAAAACAATGGACTGGCTGCCAAATTAAAAGCAGTAAATCCATCCATTATTACTGTTCACTGCATCTGCCATAGGCTAGCTCTTGCTTGCACAGACTCAAATGTTGCTCTAAAATATATTGATGAGGTACAACTAATTGTTACCCAATTGTGGAAACTGTTTGAATACTCACCCAAGAAGATGGCAGCTTACCTAAAATGCCAACAAAGCATCAAGAACATTGTCCTTGGTGAGTCCAATAAGAACATCATATGCAAAAAGCTAAAGAAAGCATGCAAGACAAGATGGCTGTCATTTGATAATGCAGTAATAGCGGTATACGAGGAAATATTAGCTATTCTCCAAACCTTAAGAGAGTTACAAGCAGATCCAACAT